TACGCCTGCCTGGTTCCTCGCCTGTCAATCTGATGAAAATCAATAATATGTTTTTGTTAGGGAAAATTTCACCCCCCCATAAACGAAGTCATGCCTTATATTATTCTATTGGTTTACTCACATGCTTTATTAGGGGCGGCAGTGTGTCTAACCTCCCCCCCCCCCCCCCACGCCACCCCCACCCCCATGCACACGGGAAGATTATTTTCTCATTCGTATTGTTCCAGATACTAATATAAAACATTTATAGTCTTTGATTGTGCATTTTCCTTCAGTTCTCGAGAATAGATATTATTTCATCTTAATCATGGAATTTTTCCTGCTTCTGTTGGCGCCGTTCATTACCCGCCAGTTTCAATCTCAGTGATTTTGATAAAGTCGACATACGGGAACAATTACTAGACTACCGTGATACTTCGCCTGCGTGATGCAGACCACATCACCCACCCAGTGCCGATCGGTCAATCAAAATATAGGTCTAGCCCTATATGCCCAATCCGCCTGAAGGTGAAGAAAAGAGACCTTTACTTTACTTTTAGTGATACTTTGGCTAACGATTTGTTTCGACCAACGAAGATAAATGTTTGTTTTTATATCAGCTAACGAATTTGGATTTGCTTAACGAATGTTTTAGTGGATGCGGGCGTTAACCTAAAGCGACCTCCCTGGCTGCTGCATTCTGGCACCAATCAGGGGTTGTCCTGGGAGGTAAAGACGGACGGCGTCATGTTGACCTATCACCCACCCAGGGCTAATTAGTCTAAAAGATATGGGTCTAGCACCATATGTCCGACACGCCACAGGCTTGACAAGAAATCTATCAATTGAGACCAGGAGACCCGTGTCAGAGAAAGACTAGACCCACAGTTAATCGGTCAGCATTAGCATCATTGGAATCGTTCTCTTCCCTGCCTGCTGAAGATGGAGACGAAGCGTTTATGGGTATGTCCCGAGTATTGTGATGTCGATTTTTAATTCTAGCCTCAGCCTGAAAATGTGTTTGAGGTTAGAGGAGAAAAAAAAAGATTAAAAGAAATATGCTGTATGATCGATCGTTTCAGTAGTTAGACAAACGTTGAAACATTATTCGCTGTGTTCTTACAAGCAATATTTAATAATTTCGGTAATTAGACAAACCTTGATGAGAACTTTGGCTACGTCCAGACTATGGCTAACGATGGCTACATGCAGGGGCGTCTCTTGTTGCAGGTTTGTAGAGTTGATATCCGCACCCATCAAAGACAGGAATCGCGCCATTTTGAGTCGATTGTAGCGTGCAGCAAAGTGCAGGGGCGTATCTCCGTCCTTTGTGACTGCATTCAGGCTTGCACCCATTTCCAGCAGAAACTCCACTAAAAACAGTTAGAGAATACGATCATTGTAAACTATTAACATTAAAATGAAGACAGAAGAAAAAGAAAATAGCAACTACAGCATTAAAACAAACCACAGCGAGTTATATTCGTAAAGTGCAGATATTGTGATATTTCCTTAGACATTCACATTAATGAAAAACAGTGCTCTTCGTGGTCTCGGGGCATGGCATCCTCCTTGAGTGTTGGAAGTCCTCGGTTCAGCCACCGTTGAAGGTTGGGATTTTTTCACGTGGACTTCTAGTAAATTCATCCTGTCTCTGGGTAGTGAGATCAAACGCCCACCAGCTCACGTAAAAAAAAAAAAAAAACCTGACAGTTGGAAATCAACAAGTGTAACCTAACGGCGCAACATTTAGAGTTAAAAAACCTACCCAAAGTATTTTAGAATCCTCTGCGATGCTTTGGAGTTCGTGCACTGAGTTCAGATTCACCGGACTCAGACTTGAGTTAAAAGTAGAACTGAGCACTTATGAGTTAATGCCCTTGTGCGATGATGGTGATTCGTTGTTTAAACCTAAACTCAAATTAATCTAAAACATTAGTAGATCTGCTGTACACAGTTGAAATAACCTGCTTATGTTATCACAGTCGACATACACTACACACGGACATCCCCATGCGTGCCGTCCCCCTGTGCAGCAGCCACTCCAAGGTACCTCTACTGATGGCCCACATTGAAAGTTGCCATCTTGTTTGAGTGCCAGTAAAGTAATAGTTGTTTTTATTTTCTGTTGATTGACAAATAAATATCGGGAATGATATAAAATGTAAAAAGAAATGTTTTATAAGAAAACGTGTGTATCTGGTTACAAGGCGCAGTTAGCCTTCTTGCAGACCTTAAAAAAAAAATGGAGGGGGGGGGGGGGGTTAGCCCTCCTAAAATTATACGGTGGAGAGGGGGGAGATTGCTGAGCCTCCAGGTTTCAGCACCGTTTCTAAGCAAAGCCTACTTACCTGCTAGAGGCCGATTTGCCTTGATCATCCTGTGCAGGAGGGACTCACTTGTCTGCCTACACACCGTCTCATTGACATCTGCTCCACATCTGACCAACAGTCGAGCAGACGACAGCGAGCTATGACACAGGCATGCATGTAGAGGGCTGGTGACGAGGTGGGAATACATACATGTAGAGGCTGGTGACGAAGTGGGAATACATACATGTAGAGAGCTGGTGACGAGGTGGGAATACATACATGTAGAGGGCTGGTGACGAGGTGGGAATACATACATGTAGAGAGCTGGTGACGAGGTGGGAATACATACATGTAGAGGCTGGTGACGAGGTGGAAATACATGCATGTAGAGGGCTGGTGACGAGGTGGGAATACATGCATGTAGAGGGCTGGTGACGAGGTGGGAATACATACATGTAGAGGGCTGGTGACAAGGTGGGAATACATACATGTAGAGGGCTGGTGACGAAGTGGGAATACATACATGTAGAGGGCTGGTGACGAAGTGGGAATACATACATGTAGAGGGCTGGTGACGAGGTGGGAATACATACATGTAGAGGCTGGTGACGAAGTGGGAATACATACATGTAGAGGGCTGGTGACGAGGTGGGAATACATACATGTAGAGGCTGGTGACGAAGTGGGAATACATACATGTAGAGAGCTGGTGACGAAGTGGGAATACATACATGTAGAGGCTGGTGACGAAGTGGGAATACATACATGTAGAGGCTGGTGACGACGTGGGAATACACACATGTAGAGGCTGGTGACGAAGTGGGAATACATACATATAGAGGGCTGGTGACGAAGTGGGAAATACATACATGTAGAGAGCTGGTGACTAAGTAGGAATACATACATATAGAGGGCTGGTGACGAAGTGGGAATACATACATATAGAGGGCTGGTGACGAAGTGGGAATACATACATATAGAGGGCTGGTGACGACGTGGGAATACATACATGTAGAGGCTGGTGACGAAGTGGGAATACATACATGTAGAGGCTGGTGACGAAGTGGGAATACATACATGTAGAGAGCTGGTGACGAGGTGGGAATACATACATGAAGAGGGCTGGTGACAAAGTGGGAATACATACATGTAGAGGGCTGGTGACGAAGTGGGAATACATACATGTAGAGGCTGGTGACGAAGTGGGAATACATACATGTAGAGGCTGGTGACGAAGTGGGAATACATATAGAGGGCTGGTGACGAAGTGGGAATACATACATGTAGAGGCTGGTGACGAAGTGGGAATACATACATGTAGAGGCTGGTGACGAAGTGGGAATACATATAGAGGGCTGGTGACGAAGTGGGAATACATACATGTAGAGAGCTGGTGACTAAATAGGAATACATACATATAGAGGGCTGGTGACGAAGTGGGAATACATACATATAGAGGGCTGGTGACGAAGTAGGAATACATACATATAGAGGGCTGGTGACGAAGTGGGAATACATACATATAGAGGGCTGGTGACGAAGTGGGAATACATACATGTAGAGGCTGGTGACGAAGTGGGAATACATACATGTAGAGGGCTGGTGACGAAGTGGGAATACATACATGTAGAAGACTGGTAACGAAGTGGGAATACATACATGTAGAAGGCTGGTGACGAGGTGGGAATACATACATGTAGAAGGCTAATGACAAAGTTGGAATACATACATGTAGAGGCTGGTGACAAAGTGGGAATACATACATGTAGAGGCTGGTGACGAAGTGGGAATACATACATATAGAGGGCTGGTGACAAAGTGGGAATACATACATGTAGAGGCTGGTGACGAAGTGGGAATACATACATGTAGAGGCTGGTGACGAAGTGGGAATACATACATATAGAGGGCTGGTGACGAAGTGGGAATACATACATGTAGAGGCTGGTGACGAAGTGGGAATACATACATGTAGAGGGCTGGTTATGAAGTGGGAATACATACATGTAGAAGACTGGTGACAAAGTGGGAATACATACATGTAGAGGGCTGGTGACGAAGTGGGAATACATACATATAGAGGGCTGGTGACGAAGTAGGAATACATACATGTAGAGGGCTGGTGACTAAGTAGGAATACATACATGTAGAAGACTGGTGTCAAAGTGGGAATAAATACATATAGAGGCTGGTGACGAAGTGGGAATACATACATGTAGAAGACTGGTGACGAAGTGGGAATACATACATGTAGAAGACTGGTGACGAAGTAGGAATACATACATGTAGAAGACTGGTGACGAAGTAGGAATACATACATGTAGAGGGCTGGTGACGAAGTGAGAATACATACATGTAGAAGACTGGTGACGAAGTGGGAATACATACATATAGAGGCTGGTGACGAAGTGGGAATACATACATGTAGAAGACTGGTGACGAAGTGGGAATACATACATGTAGAAGACTGGTGACGAAGTAGGAATACATACATGTAGAAGACTGGTGACGAAGTAGGAATACATACATGTAGAGGGCTGGTGACGAAGTGGGAATACATACATGTAGAAGACTGGTGAAGAAGTAGGAATACATACATGTAGAAGACTGGTGACGAAGTGGAAATACATACATGTAGAGGCTGGTGACAAAATGGGAATACATACATATAGAAGGCTGGTGACGAAGTAGGAATACATACATGTAGAGAGCTGGTGACGAAGTGGGAATACATACATGTAGAAGACTGATGACGAAGTAGGAATACATACATGTAGAGGGCTGGTGACTAAGTAGGAATACATACATGTAGAAGACTGGTGACGAAGTGGGAATACATACATATAGAGGGCTGGTGACGAAGTGGGAATTCATACATGTAGAAGACTGGTGACGAAGTGGGAATACATACATGTAGAAGACTGGTGACGAAGTAGAAATACATACATGTAGAAGACTGGTGACGAAGTGGGAATACATACATGTAGAGTGCTGGTGACTAAGTAGGAATACATACATGTAGAAGACTGGTGACGAAGTGGGAATACATACATATAGAGGGCTGGTGACGAAGTGGGAATACATACATATAGAGGGCTGGTGACGAAGTGGGAATACATACATGTAATCAATCAACAGTCTTTTGCAAAAAGTCACCCTCAACACGGTACGCTAAAAAGTCTTTGTTTCTCTAGCTAATTCTCTATGTGCTTTCATGGCCAATCCATTTTTAATGTCGTGTATTCACTATCGCGTAAGTCTGTCGTCTCATTTTCCAGTTTCTGTACCCTTCATAATAGGTCGCTCCATGCCGCCATGAGGGTTAACATGACCAAACGACCCTAGTTTTTGAGACAGGTTGTTGTGCAGTTCTTGTACAAACAAGTGAAGCAGCGGTACCTTCCCTTCTCTTTCTGGATCAGTGGATCTTCTGTCTCGTCTTTTCTGATACAGGCGTATACCTAAGAGGGCCCTTTAGGAACTCTAGAAAAACCAACCATCTACCTGTTCCCTGTTCCTCTCCATGGTTTAAAGTAAACAAAAGCAAACCGACTATAGCATTAAAAGAACACAAAGAGAATGTTTTAGCCCTACAGCGAAATCTTAGAGAGATTGAATTCACATTTCTTCACAACACCAGCATTAAATACTGCTACTATAATGTCGACTGTTGCTACGGCTATTAAGTTTGCTTGTCACACTCACACATACACGCATGTATGCACGCACACACATACACACGCACGCACACATACACACTCATAAACACAAACAGATCGCTATGTACCACCATTTACTCACACACATCCCAAGAGCCTCACCTGCGCCCGTGCCCATCCCGTCCGTTGGGGTCCGCCTGGCATTGAAGCATAACCCTCAGGCCAGCTAGACGCTCTCTGATGGCCGCTAGGTGGAGCACCGTGTCTCCCCCAGTGCTGACGTGGCTGACTGCCCAGCAGACGTGGTCGGGACCCCAGTCTTGCAGCAGGTCCACCAAATCCTGGTCTGTTCCTTGGTTGATCAGGCTGGCCAGTTGACACACTTCCTGCTCTAAGGTCACCCAGCGCCTTATCATTGTCATACCTGGGACAATTTGGGGATGGAATGTCTGTAGGTATATTGATACAATGGAATGTCTGTAGGTATATTGACACGATGAAATGTCTGTAGGTATATTGATAAGATGGAATGTCTGTAGGTATATTGGCACGATGGAATGTCTGTTGGTATATTGACAGGATTAAATGTATGTAGTACCGCCTTCTCCAGAGTTGGCCCTGCTCTGTAGGTATATTGACACGATGGAATGTATGTAGTACCGCTTACTGCAGAGTCGGCCCTGCTCTGTAGGTATATTGACACGATGAAAGAAAAGTCTGAAGTAAGATTATCCGTCACATCCGGTCAAAAACTTTAGCTGCAAAGTCAAGCCAGTCATGGTTAAAGTCTGTGTCGTGGGTAATGTCAGTGTCGAAGGTAAAGTCAGTATCTTGGGTAAAGTCAGTGTCTTGGGTAAAGTCAGTGTCGAAGGTAAAGTCAGTGTCTTGGGTAAAGTCAGTGTCTTGGGTAAAGTCAGTGTCGAAGGTAAAGTCAGTGTCTTGGGTAAAGTCAGTGTCTTGGGTAAAGTCAGTGTCGAAGGTAAAGTCAGTGTCGAAGGTAAAGTCAGTGTCTTGGGTAAAGTCAGTGTCGAAGGTAAAGTCAGTGTCTTGGGTAAAGTCAGTGTCTTGGGTAAAGTCAGTGTCTTGGGTAAAGTCAGTGTCGAAGGTAAAGTCAGTGTCGTGGGTAAAGTCAGTGTCGAAGGTAAAGTCAGTGTCGAAGGTAAAGTCAGTGTCGAAGGTAAAGTCAGTGTCGAAGGTAAAGTCAGTGTCATGGGTAAAGTCAGTGTCGAAGGTAAAGTCAGTGTCGAAGGTAAAGTCAGTGTCGAAGGTAAAGTCAGTGTCGAAGGTAAAGTCAGTGTCGAAGGTAAAGTCAGTGTCATGGGTAAAGTCAGTGTCTTGGGTAAAGTCAGTGTCATGGGTAAAGTCAGTGTCATGAGTAAAAGTCAGTGTCATCACTAAAGTCAGTAAAAAGCAATTTTTACGCTAGGACGCAAAATGTGTATAATCTCAAACTCATATTTGTATAGACTAATCAGCCTTCTATAGGGAATGTCATCGCCTTTACTTCCCATCGCATTGCCCAGTACACGTTGTAGACTAGGTCGACTGAGGGATACCGGGCAAAAGAAGAAGACGAACTTGTTGTTTGTTTGTTTTAGTATCCAGAAGCCATCAGTTGTTAACCCTTAGGATCGGTATTATGGATATCGCAACCTTTCGGCCTTGATTCCATTGTAAATACCGTAAATCTGGGAGAGAATGTGGCTTTCCTGCCTACCCCCGGGATTGAACCCGGACTACAAGGAGTTCGTAACCCGCTCTCCGCGCAATCCGGTTTAGCCAACTACGCTAGAGAGCCGGGCAGACGAACTTGTTCGTTCCGGTTGTCAATTTTAATTCTCTCAGTTGCAAGCATCCATCACTTTAACTCATTCACACCCAGGATGACTGTATCACAAAATTAGAGCAATATTTACTTCTGGAAGCGGACAGGTAATGTTTTTGTTTTGTTTTTAACAAGCGAGAAAAGATGGTTTCCCCGTCCCAGTTTTCTCTCCCGTAGTGGACTAGACATCTAGTCTGCATGGACATGTATATGCGGGTCCAACTTGCTTAAGGAAGTTAACATCAAACGAAGGTTTATTTGTTTTGTATGTGTGTTAGTTACGACTCTTGGCTTCCACATCTTTTTTTTTTTTGGTTACGGTGTCCTGTATTCACACGCGCGACAGAGTTTCAACTGGCTAGAAAAAAAATGTGGTTTTCTCTCAGTGAGACTTCAGTTAAGTGTTTTTGTGTATTCTTGTTTGTAAATGTAAAATTGTTCACTCATGACATATGCTGATAAAGGATTTCTAACCGCGACGTTCACTTGTCATTTATAATTGCGATAAACGTGACGACCACATCATCTATCGACTGCCGACTGGTCTATCAACAATAAAAAGAACTCCACAGGGGAGCATGTACAGCAGGGGTCCACCGATCATCAGTAGAAAGATCCCTTGTCCTAGATTGTGTCGGTCCGTTACCATTCCTGTACAATCTCGGAAGGTACGTCAAACACCATAAGTCTGAAGTAGCAATGGCATGAGAGGGTCTTTAACTGACGACAACCTTTCTGTTGTATGTTCACAATTTGTTATGCGCATGAACTTTGATCTGGATAAGAGAAATTTCTGATGTGAAGGACCATTTCTTGCTTTCCCAATGAGATCTCCTTTAAGGTCTGCACTGTATGTGTAGTCGTTCTTCTCTGCGTCTTTCTCTATGCGATTGTTTGTTTGCCGCATTGGTGGCGTGCCTTCCGATTTCCTTGTCAGCCACGTCAGATTTCTGCTGTAGTCAACATGGGGAGGGGGAGAAGGGGGGGGGGGGGGGGCTGGTTGGAAAAGAACAAGTTCTTAGAAGACCTGACCTTGGTTGTTCGTCTGCCATCCACCGATTCTCTTCCTGCCCCTAGTGTCCTTCCCTCTCCCCTTTCCGTGTTTCTTGGCTGTTGTGGTCACCTCTTCTTCCTACGACGCTGTCGCCATTTTCTTCATTTGTTGTATACTTATCTTTTATTGTCAATCACTTTTTTTTTTTTTTCAAATTGTTGGAATCGTTGTTCCGCTTGCTTCAATAACTACTCCAGTAGTTTCTAGAACTTTGCATCTTGTAAATTGCTCCTATGCGGACCGTTTTTGTGCTATAGATCGATCACCCCTCCGGGCTGTTACCTAAAGGTTTACCTTGTCATCTTGGATGAAACAAATCTCTATCTAGACAACAGACCAACCAGGCAGATCCCAGATACCCTGTTCACCTTCCACAGAAGATATAATTAGGGTACTCGTAGGGCCTGCAGTTTAAAAAAAAACAAAATCGTTATTTACGTTAATAAAGCCTGGCTTCCTGTGTGTTGCCTGTTTGCCATGTAGCGATCCATACACAAAGCCAGGGCGTTATTTACGTCTGGTTAATGAAAGGGTATTTATGGGAAATTTTGTAACATTAGATTTATGAACGCCTTGCGTCAGTAGACAGCAAAAGAGGAAAGATATTAAATTATGAGGTTGCCAAAATAAACAGCTGAATGAAAAGTGTCAATTGACACTGGATTTGCAGCGCCATTGTATAACCGTCAAGGAGTGTGTGTATGTAACGGTATGTGCGCCCGTCTGGCAACTCCAGACTGCGGATCTAATCCCACGTAATTTGGTTCCTATTTTATCGGAACGGCTGTATTTAACAAAACCGTTAACCCGTTAGGGCTTTGGAGGTGTATTTATGGAAGCACTTGCACACAAAACCCGCCATTTTCTCTGCTTCAGTTTGTTGAACAAATGCATAATAATTTAGTCCTATCCATTTCATAATGTTTTCATTCTAGGTTCTTCTTTGCCGCCCCGCCCTCCCTTCTTCGACTACCGTCAGTGTTCCTTGAAGTATATATAGTCTGCAATTAAATCCCGTTTCACCACGTGCCCGAACCAATCTAGCTTGCGACATTTTTTTACTTACACTCCACCAACGCTCCACCCAGTTGTTACACTGGACCACTACGTGACCATTTGTTACGTCAGCCCCAGTCTCACCCAACAGTGTCATCGAACCTGTCTGTACGTCAGCCCCAGTCTTACCCAACAGCGTCATCGAACCTGTCTGTACGTCAGCCCCAGTCTTACCCAACAGCGTCATCGAACCTGTCTGTACGTCAGCCCCAGTCTTACCCAGCAGCGTCATCAAACCTGTCTGTACGTCAGCCCCAGTCTTACCCAACAGCGTCATCGAACCTGTCTGTACGTCAGCCCCAGTCTTACCCAACAGCGTCATCGAACCTGTCTGTACGTCAGCGCCAGTCTTACCCAACAGCGTCATCGAACCTGTCTGTACGTCAGCCCCAGTCTTACCCAACAGCGTCATCGAACCTGTCTGTACGTCAGCCCCAGTCTTACCCAACAGCGCCATCGAACCTGTCTGTACGTCAGCCCCAGTCTTACCCAACAGCGCCATCCAACCTGTCTGTACGTCAGCCCCAGTCTTACCCAACAGCGTCATCGAACCTGTCTGTACGTCAGCCCCAGTCTCACCCAACAGCGTCATCGAACCTGTCTGTACGTCAACCCGAGTCTTACTCAACAGCGCCATCGAATCTGTCTGTACGTCAGCCCCAGTCTTACTCAACAGCGCCATCGAACCTGTCTGTACGTCAGCCCCAGTCTTACCCAACAGCGTCATCGAACCTGTCTGTACGTCAGCCCCAGTCTTACCCAACAGCGTCATCGAACCTGTCTGTACAGCAATAATTTTTTTTTTAAATTCAATCGATCTGGAGCCGTCTCCGCAGTGAATTGTGGCTGCCATGGTTTCCTAGAAAATACAAATTCTAAACTTACCCCTTTTCAGCCACCGGAAGGCCCGGGGTGTGGGGGGGGGGGGGGAGGGGTGTGAGGGAGGGGGAGCGTGCCTTTGTTCTCTAGCATGCTATATATCGTCTCTTGGTTGTATATTATCTCAGGCTGTTGTTCGTCCATCTATTGATGTTGCCTTCCCACTTGTATCGTTTGTCTACCCCTTGTTATATTGCCTAATTTTCCCCTCCATAATGATTTCAGCAACCCTGTCTCTTTGGTATCTCGGCGTTTTACTGTTCTTGAGTTCAGGAAATACGACCTTTTCTGTTCATGCATTTTTATTTACTATTATTCCGTCTCTTCAACTCTCTCTCTCTCTCTCTCTCTCTCTCTCTCTCTCTCTCTCTCTCTCTCTCTCTCTCTCTCTCTCTCTCTCTCTGTGTGTTTAGCATCTATGAAAGTTCTCCTGATTTACGAACCGTTACAGTAGCGCTGACTTCAGGTAAACACAACATCATCAGTATAATTTAACATGCATGTCAGAGATGCGATTAAGAATAGTTCTCGTGAGACTGACTACTTAGTCTCGTCAAACAACTTTAGCTATAATCCCTCAACACATTCTCATGTGTCTACTAAGTTGGAAAAGTCTACTTTGTTGGAAATGAAAGGCTGAAGAATAAGAAGAAAGAAGAAGAAGAAGAAAAAGAAGAAGAAGAAGAAGAAGAAGAAGAAAAAGAAGAAGAAGAAAAAGAAGAAGAAGAAGAAAAATAAGACGCTGATGATGATGGAAGAAGGAAAAGGAGGAGTAGGAGCCAGAGGAGGAGGAGGAGAAGAAGAAGAAGAAGAAGAAGAAGAAGAAGAAGAAGAAGAAGAAGAAGAAGAAGAAGAAGAAGAAAAAAAAAATAAGAAGAAGAAGAAGAAGAGGGTGATGATGAAGGAGGAAGGTAAAAGGAAGAGGAGAGCCCAGAGGAGGAGGAGGAGAAAAAGAAGAAGATGAAGAAAAAAATATACGTACACAGAGCGGCATACTCACGGAACTGAAACCAAACGAATTTATAATTTGGTTTGCAAACCAGCGTATCCAAAACTCCGTTTATAAAAAAAAAAACAGAAATTCGCGCGCTTATGTCCTTTAACAGAACAACGTCGAACCTTCACCTGCGGAAATTTTCAAATGGGTCCTGGTTACAGAAATTCTGCTGGTAGTTCCAGGCTGGTTTCAAGTATCAAGTTACCATACCTAGTGCTGGTCGTTCGTCTTTCATTAGAAGGTGTTTAATTTGCGGTATGTGTACATATTCTTCCAGTGCCCGGGCCAATAGACATAACCGTTAGAGAGGTGGCTAGTGATACGGCAACAGTTGACTGGGAAAGGCAGGCGTGTATGTTTACCTGACAGGAATCAATGTCGGATTTTGTGGAGTTTAAGCATCTGTATAAAACTCACACTGATTTATGGAAGTCCATTTTATTCAGTGTTCAGACCACCTGGCCACAAGAGCTATAGTGTGTTTCAAAAGTCGTACCCTCACAATTTAACAAACATCTCGAAAACTCATGCACGGATCGATCAGCAGAAATGTTCGCATGTGTCCTTAGATTGCCCATGTCCTTATGATTTTATAACTGCACAGGTGCTGTTATTTTCTTGAAGCGGCGAATTTCTACTATCTTTGTTTTTAACTAATAATTTGTGTACCAGTAAAAATAGATTATACAGTAATTGACTCATACGTAGAGATTATTTAGATAGCCTATTCCACATGCAATTAAAATTGTGTTTATCAAAGTCAGGGAATCTAATGCTGGAGATGAGCACCTGAGAGTAAAACACCCACGAAGTGCGGGCAAATTAGACCAGTTCCCTTTACTCAGTTAACTGTAAGCAGGCTGACTGTTTATAGCATGGCCTTTGGTTGTGTCCAGCATCAGTGGAGTATTATGACAAGTATGAGTTGCCAGCGCATTTGATGCATTTAGTTGAACATCAGTATCATGAACAACAAGCAGCCGTCAGAGCAGCTGGTGAAATATCGGATTGAGTCGAGGTGCACAAGGGAGTGAGGCAGGGTTACATTCTCTCACCTTACCTATTTAATATGTGTGCAGAAAACATAATGTGATATGTAAAAATTACCAGACTTGTGACAGTTATGAACCGCTCATAATTGGTGGCAACCCTATTCCAGAGCTTAGCTATGCAGATAGCAGTCCTTGTTTCGAACAAGGAGCCGCGTTAGCGCAGTCGATAAGAGGCTCGCTTTCAAATCCAGCTGCGACTCGCTGCAGCCCACGGTCGGTGTTCGAAACCGGGCGGCTTCCGGGGTTCACCCAGCCTCTAGGTAATGGGTACCAGAGTGACACTCTGGGGTAAATGAAGGAATGTCGCTGCAGCTACAGAGTTACGTGCCAACGGCGACACAGGCGGACAATTCTTATCAGCTGTCCGCACTGGTGGCAGAGCAATTATGGTTTTTAACCGTGTGCAATGACGCTGGTTCATATCTCCCGACTTTACTTTTTGTTTCGAACAATATAAAGGAAATATAAAATTTAATTTTGTCTGTCCAAAAAAACACAGTGAAGATCAAAACATATTCTTCAGTTTGAAGAAAACAAAAATAATATCCACAAACAAAACTGGCTGTAATCCAAAAATAATAATACATAATGAAGAAATTGAAAATGTCACAAACTTGAAACATCTCGGCTCTATGGTAAATACCAATGGAGACAGTTTTCAAGAATACCGAGGACAAAAAAGAGAAGAAATATTGACATTTTAAAAGATCTGAACATCAAGGAAGATTGGCTCATAAACAGCATCTTGTCTGAGAAACTGAAATACTTTGGTCATATCAAGCGCCATAGGCGGACTGAAAAAAAAAAAAGCAAAAGGCATGGTGCCAAGGAGGAGGGGCAGGGGCCGACCAACATGAAGATGGGCTCAGAATATAAGTGACTCCTTGAGTATGAAAGTACACCAGGCGGGAGAGCTGGAGAGAGACCGAGTTTCTATCAGGCAGACTGTGATGAGAGCGACGTTCTGCAAAGGACCTGCTACATGATGATGATGCTGTTTGATTTGAATTGTTGTCTTCTTTAAAAAATATACCACAAATGAGGCGACAGCGACATGAAAACTGGAGGATTGTTAACAATGGACAACCAAAAAATGCTTTCATACTTTCCAACTCATATTTTCATAGACCACTCGACACTGGGGGATAATCTAGTCAGCGTCCATTCAACCGCCTTTACTTCCCAGGAAATTACCTGCTTCCAGTTTTAGGTTGTGTCGACCTGGGAGTAAAACCAAGACTGACTGACTTTCAACCTAGCCAGGACCGCACCACGAACGATAAACACCCAGGTGACACAAAATGCCACCATTCGGATGGGAATCACCCGGACGCAAGTCCCAAAAAAACTCCTTTGAACCCGGGATTGGGTTCTAAAGTAACAAAAAAATGCGACTCACATTGGGACGGAGATATATTTAAAAAAAAAAAACACCAACCAAGAATCTTCCCACAGGCTGTAATGAGATCGACGTCTGGCAGGTGACTTGCTAGATGATGGTGATAATGGCTGTGCTCCAGTCTACAAAAAGCTTACTACTGAAAAAGTAGCAACGTGCCATTGTAAGAAAAGCGCCCATGCAGTGTCTAATGAAAGCGCCGCCACTGATGGTAGCAGGGACTCGGAAATTGTTTGGTTCAAGTAATCAGTCAATCATTGACTCAGATTTGACACGATGAATAAAGGGAAAGTAATTATACTCTGGGCAGATAACTCGGTGGTTACACAGTAACTATAGAGACAGGGTGTACACAAATATTTGCCAATTAGTGACCAATGACAACGCTTGCGGTTTTCAAACTGTTTTAATCAATGCTCCCTGGACCAGTCAGATGTATAGGGCTCAAAGCTGTAAACCACAATACAACACATGAACCACCCCTTTTAAAGGCGAATGCATAAGAAGGAGACAAAGAAGTAGACGAAGAAGAATTCATGAAGACAATTTGTGTATTTTTGCGTCCTTTTAGGACGAAATTTTTCTTAATTTGAAGCCCTACTCTGGCTCTTGCCGGGGGCCGCAATATAGCCTGGCCATAAATATGGCCTAAAGGCTGAACGCGGTTTCTGGGACCTCTCCACGGTGATCCTCACCCACATGGTGGCACATTGTGTCATCGGGTGTTTATCGCTTGTGTGATGTCATGGTGGGGTAGAAAGTCATTCAGTCAAGAAGACAATATACTGAAGTCGTCCCCTCGTGGGATGCAATTCTGTGTTATTTTGAAGCCCCACTCTGGCTTTTGCCGGGGGGCCTGAATATAGCCGGACTAAAAGGAGTTTCTGGGACCTCTCCACGGGTGATCCTCATCCGCATGGTGGCACTTTGTGTCACCGGGTGTTTATCGCATTGGGTAATGTCCTGGTGGGATACAAACAAACAAACAAACAAACAAACAAACAAACAAACAAGCAAGGAGACGAAGTGTAACCTTATTACATAACTCTTTTTTAACAGTAGCATTTTTCCTAATTAAAAAAAAAAAAACCCATCAAATTCTGGAACCTAAAGATGGGATTTGACATTAAATCCAACCATTTCATTCAGTGCCTGTAACTATAGAATTGCATTTTATAAAATGAAAAACATTTTATGTAATGAATCCATATCACTGGATGTTAAAAAACTAATTCTTGCTTGCTGTATAGTGCAGGTTATAACATACGGTTGTGAATCCTGGACAATTAATAAACACGCCAGAGAGATGGTTTTACAGAAGAATCCGTAGAAAACCAACCTAAATATTTAAAAGTGTCCGGGCCCGATGACAACTTATCACAAACTTCAGAAAGAGACATAATTCTTATTATATCATATCGTGCGATGAGGAGAAGAGGGGAAACCGGAGTATTTTGTGACAACTGGAAAGATCTGTGGGCGAAAATAGACAGAGAAGATTTTTGACAGCTTTTTGTCATAGCATCGAACGTCAGCGCATGAACTGATACATGCTGTTTACAGCCTGCTTTTCATTAATCATCATCATCATTATCATCATAATGATGATAATAATTCACAGCGTGCAATTAATTTTAGAACAAAATTTCGCCCCTGCCTATTTTTGTGTCTGCCTATTACTCCATCCGAACATCTACCAGATTGTCTGTCTAAGTATATTTTGTATATATCAAGCGCTCTTTTTTCTGGAAACAAAGGTGTCGATACTAACCACAAAGTGTGTATGTAGTATTACAGTGTGTGTGTCTGTGTCGTCCATCAAGATGATGATGACTCCGCTTTTTCATCAAGTATGAGCATGAAGATGACTGATGAGGCCGATGCGGGCCCGAAAAGTTCTTGGACAGTGAGGACAGGGAATGAGCGTTGTGCCAGGGAGGGGATCTGCTACAGTCTCCTTTCTGTCCATCCTTTTCTTAATAAGTCTTGCTGTTCTGTTTGCTTCACATTTAGACGTGCCCTTGTGTAGAGTTGCACGCCATGCATTTCGGTCTTGAGAGGCAGCCTCCCAACTGGTGTCATTCCTCCCAAATGCTTTGAGTGAAGACTTCAAGGTGTCCTTAAGGCATTTCTTTTACCCGCCTTGGGAACGTTTGCCATTTTGCAGCTCATCATAGAAGAGTTTTTTTTGGCAGCCTGTAATCTGGCATACGTGCTACATACATGACCAGCCCAACGAATTTGATACTGCATCAGTAAAGTGTGGATGCTGGGCATGGCTGCTTTCTCAAGGACTACGGTATCAGGTACTTTGTCTTGCCATCTGATATGTAATACACCATCATGTATTACAGTACTGCTGAGTGAAAACAATGCCTCAACAAAGGTGTTAATACTTACCACAAAGTGTGTATTACAGTACTGCTGGAAAAAAAGGATGCCTTAATAAAGTTGTCAGTACTGCGCACCATTGGGTACCACCAAAACAGAAAAGCCATGTATATATGTCTGCTTGCCAACCTGCCTGTCTTCGTACTTGTCTAACAGCCTGTTGTCTACCTACCGTTGTGTAAATAATCCCGCCCCGTTCGTCCACCCATCTGTTTATCCAACTGTGGAACTGGTAGCCTTCTAGGGTGAGCGTCACAAGTCAAACTACGCAGAGAGAGTCGCCTTTGACTCGGCGAAGTCACGAAAACTACAATTACCCATAAAAGCTTCATACAAACGTACTAAATTCACAGCTGAAAATAAATAATTGCCTTTGTACAAACGATATCAACCGTGGTACACTCCTTAGGCGAACGTAAAACCACGTTGGTGATTTTTAACCCCAAACGTTGGTGTCATTTACATATGGCGACACCTGTCCTGTCTGAATACCAGCGAGAAGGGTAGGAATGAAGAAAAAAAAAGGTAAGTGCAGTATAAATAAACAGATCCTAAATCAGATGGGAAAGAAATACAATGAATAATTTTAAATACCGGAGAATATCAGAGCAGGATCAATGAATGGCTGGGCTGCATACAGAAACATGTTGTACGACCGACGTGTGAATAGCCTGAATGACTTTGTGTTAGAGGTGTACCGCTCATACACATGTGAATAAGTGTTTCCCAGGGTAGGTTAAATGTTTGTTTTAAATTATACAGTTCATGACTGGTTCAAATGTATAAGGTAGAAGTAGTGGAATGGGGGAAGAGGGGGGGGGGAGGGGGGGGGGTGTTGAAACCGTTCTGCTGTGAACAAATTAGAAAGAGCTTGGGGGCAGCGGTGATTTGCTTTCTGGGACTAATGAACTAATGCTGGGGATACCTTTGTAAACCAGAATATCTAATACTGATTGCCTGAAAAGTTATTTTTCTTCTTCGTTCACACTTACAACGGTGGTTGACAGGTGTGTTGCGGTTTACAACTGGGCTGTGATATCTGCACTTTTCGGCCCAACTCATCCGGTTTCAGCAAAACCCTAATTAGTCGCCTTTTACGACATGCTTGCCAGGAGGCAGAGGGTCGAATCTTGTTGTCCCACAGAATGAGGAACCCCAGAACCTAGACCAGGATACAAATTAGATGGAAGTAGAACATGAACATGACTCTAAGGCAGAGGCCCTGGTTTTCTGGTCATGCATGACAGACACTGTGGCGGCGGGAATAACCAGCGCTGGATATGGGAGACGCTGGTTGACAGACACTGTGGCGGCGGGAATAACCAGCGCTAGACGTGGGAGATGAGTTGACAGACACTGTGGCGGCGGGAATAACCAGCGCTAGACGTGGGAGATGAGTTGACAGACACTGTGGCGGCGGGAATAACCAGCGCTAGACGTGGGAGATGAGTTGACAGACACTGTGGCGGCGGGAATAACCAGCGCTAGACGTGGGAGATGTGTTGACAGACACTGTGGCGGCAAGAATAACAAGCGCTGGATGTGGGAGACGCTGGTTGACAGACACTGTGGCGGCGGGAATAACCAGCGCTAGACGTGGGAGATGAGTTGACAGACACTGTGGCGGCGGGGATAACCAGCGCTAGACGTGGGAGATGCGTTCACAGACACTGTGGCGGCGGGAATAATCAGCGCTAGACGTAGGAGATGCGTTGACAGACACTGTGGCGGCGGGGAATAAATCAGCGCGTAGACGGCGGGAATAATTTTGCAGCGCCAGACTGGGAGATGAGTTGACAGACACTGTGGCGGCGGGGATAACCAGCGCTAGACGTGGGAGATGTGTTGACAGACACTGTGGCGGCGGAAATAATCAGCGCTAGACGTGGGAGGTGCGTTGACAGACACTGTGGCGGCGGGAATAACCAGCGCTAGACGTGGGAGATGCGTTGACAGACACTGTGGCGGCGGGAATAACCAGCGCTAGACGTGGGAAATGCGTTGACAGACACTGTGGCGGCGGGAATAACCAGCGCTAGACGTGGGAGATGCGTTGACAGAGACTGTGGCGGCGGGGATAACCAGCGCTAGACGTGGGAGATGCGTTGACAGACACTGTGGCGGCGGCGATCACCAGCGCTAGACTTGGGAGATGCTGGTTGAGAGAGACAATGTTGGGCGCTTCCAGACGGCGGTTAGAGTACCGGTCCAAGCCACTAGTTTTAGTGCAATTATTGTTTCTTAGCCAACGTAATTGGCACAAAGAAACCAGATCACAGTTATAACCGATACTGCTCGCAGTAGAGGGAACGTGTCGTTTTTTTTTAAAATGTTCGGTAGAGTCGAAAAGTATGACGACAACTGGCACCGAACATAACTTTCGTTAGTGCCTGCACTGACCACTTTCGCGACGTTTTTTGAAAGCGAAAAGGGGGGGGGGGGGGTTATGTAGAAAAAAAGGGGGTGGGGAGGGTGGAGCGTGAAATGTTTGGGCCGTGTAGCTTTTGCAGTCGCCATGAACACTAAATCTTACAGAGTATTCGCAGCTCGGTTCCCGGCACGAGAGACCAGCGTGCTTAACCGTTTGACCAGCCGCCCCTGGGAAACATAACTTGTATCTGCCAAATAGGATAACGATGAGAGGGATTTCAAGATACAGGCGGGACAGAATGTGTTTCAAGGTTTCAGCACCACCTTGGCTTTCTGCTCTAGCAGGCCAGGATTAACTCGCAGTTGCGACCAAACGTATTATAATAACTAGTGCGGGATTTTGGTCTAATCTAACTAAGTTGCGGCTTAGGGCCTCACAATCTGCAAAGGCCTAAAAAGTTTCTTGTTATATATTTTAAATGCAAATAATTTCTTGTTGCATCGTTTAAGTGCAATTTTCCTATTATATATTTTAAATGCAATTTTCTTGTTTTCTATTTTAAATGCAAATATTCTTGTTATGTATTTTAAATGCAGTTTTCTTTTAATATAGTTTAAAATGTCATTGCTAGAAACTGTATGATTTTATTAATATATTTTGGGGATATATTGTCTCAGGTGTTTAGATATTCTAACTTGTTGCATCTTTTTTAAATTCAGTAAAATAATCAACAAAACACACAGCAACCTCTACAACTCTGCTTTATCTTATTTCTTTGGCTTTAAAACATATTGTTGAAAAAATTTCTTTTAATAAAAATTAATTAACAGTCTATTACAGTTATTCATATGTTTAAATACATATATAGATACATATATATAGATATATATATGTATATTTTTTTTTCCTGAGATTAACTTGTGTAATTTAAAACAGTAGGGGCCTCAGGGCTTCATATAACTTAGGGCCCTATTTTTGGGATTATATCTGTATTGGTGTTTTAATGTGATACGTTTCATTTTGACTAAGTTTCTGATTCAGTGCAATTTGTCTTTCAAGCATGTCATAAAAGAAACATCAAGAGTCACCAGTGATAAAGGATTCACACAGGAATCGATGAGGAGGTAAATCATTGTATCATTTCAGTATGGAATTGACAACACAGATGTAGGGACCTTAGCAGGCTTATCTTAATGGAGATGATCATATTTTAAAAAAATATGAATACAAACAATACATTGCACAATTTCTTACCTGGCGTATTCCTCAGTATTCTCATTAGATGCATTACTACAGTATAACACCAACATACAGTGAAGCACACAAACGAAATGAATCCTGTCCACTGAAATAATAAAATTATATTGCTATATCTAGTTACACTCTACATCTTATGACCGTAAGTTCAAGATACCAATGTGACCTTCATGGCAATTTGACATTCAGCATTTGTTCTGCAAAACACAGGATTTTGTTTTCAAGATCTATCTAGCCGGCTCACAGTCCCCTGGCAAACATGTGCCTTCAGGTATTATGGTTTTGAATTTGGAGACTTGTTAAGTAATTTCCTGTCTATTATTTATTATATTTTAGTGTTGCACTACTAGATACTGAAAAAAATTCTCTTGGGATTGTCTGAGAAGAATAGATGCAAGGAACTGGATACCTTACCTCACCTCACTATGATAGATGCAAGGAACTGGATACCTCACCTCACCTCACTATGATAGATGCAAGGAACTGGATACCTCACCTCACTATGATAGATGCAAGGAACTGGATACCTCACCTCACTCTGTTATGCCCCTTAAATATTAATGCTGGAGCCTTTACAGTTCAGTGAAAATATCTTCGAGTGAAAGAAAAAAGAAGTGGGGAGGAAAAGTGGGGGGTTGTGGGGTTTGGTGGGGGGTGGCGGCAGGGAGTGGTGGGGGCTATCCGCACTTTAGTAAATGTTTATTACTGCACTACATTCATAAAGGAGATCTGGCACTGAACAAGAAGTAGCGAGTTCATCACCATCGCAGCAGCAACATGAACAAGAGCTACATCAGTTCAAAGACACAGGACCGTGTCCTACAGTCACCTGGTCTAACCAAGGACCAGGCAGTGAAGACCTCATCTCTAATGTTGCCCTGTCTGATCGGAAGGACACGGACAGTTTCTTACTTGAGCAGGACAGTGTTGCTGTTGCGGGCATTGAAGGAACATTTCTTACAAGTAAGTCATGAACACCTGCCCTCAAACAAACTATCATATTTTAGACAGTGATGTCTATACAGCAAGAAAATACAGTTATCTCCTTTATATCGAACCAAGAAACCCTTCTTTATTTTCCCTTCTTCTTCCTGTTGTCCTGTTGCTTATGTCTTAAAGCATCGCAGAGATGAGTTTGATGTAGTTTCCTGTCTTTATCTAGTTGCATAGATTGTGTTTATGTCATATTGTGTGTCTGTATTGTCTACTTTACTCCCTCCACCCATCTCGTTCTTGGTCAGCCTCTTGTCTTGAAGCCTGTTGTTCTCATGTAGTAGTACAGTTTACAGGATGATGGAGATGAAGAAGAAGAATCACACTTGCTAGTTAAGCTCCTTCTGTCCCTTGCTGTTATTTTTTTAACATCTTCCAACGATTTGAGCTGATTCACAGAGTAAGCAAACTGGAACATTGAATTTTTGTGATTTGTTCTATGACAGATGACTGAGAATTTTGGGTATATATTTATTTTACAGTTATAAAAGCACTGATTAGGGCCAACATCTACATTTTCGACAGCTAAACCAATGAATATTCTTGACTTTTCTATAATAAACAATAAGTATTCTTGAACTTTCTATAATAAACAATGAATATTCTTGAACTTTCTATAATAAACAATAAGTATTCTTGAACTTTCTATAATAAACAATGAATATTCTTGACTTTTGTCTAATAATAAATATTCTCAAGATAAGTGGTGTTGACGAACAAAATAAATCTTTCTGACCTAATGAGCAATGCTTTTCAACAGATGATTTTGTTCTTGTTGATGACACATTTATTATCACTGTCTGAATCTTGACCACATTTATGCCTAAGTTCTCAGCACCAAGTCCTGCACAGACAACTAGATACATCACTACAGGGGTCTGTTCCCTGCTGGAAGTAATACAAGGTCTCTTTCTTCTTCTTACTCTCAGTTGTCAGTGGGCAGGATGAAGGTCTGGACACATCGGCACAGAATCAGTTGGGGTCAGAGGTGAGAGGTGCTGAAGCCCAGTCAGTTTTAGCAGGAAGTAATCATGTGAATTTCCTAGATCCCTTGATTGCAACTGAACGACCCAAGACTTCAAGACCTACAAGAACATTCAAGACAAATTCTGGGTAAGAGATAATGGGATACTCTTGTGTTCAGTAAAGTCAAGTAAGCAGGTATGTCAAGTTTTTCGTCGGGAGAGCAGCAAAACTGTGACTTATGGTTGAGCCAAATTTCCTGGATATGTCACTTTTCCAACCTGTCTATAGTGACCTGTCTATAGTGACCTGTCTATAGTGACCTGTCTATAGTGACCTGTTTATAGTGACCTGTTTATAGTGACCTGTCTATTGTGACCTGTCTATAGTGACCTGTTTATAGTGACCTGTCTATAGTGACCTGTCTATAGTGACCTGTCTATAGTGACCTGTCTATAGTGACCTGTCTATAGTGACCTGTCTGTAGTGACCTGTCTATAGTGACCTTTCTATAGTGACTTGTCCATAGTGACCTGTCTATAGTGACCTGTCTATAGTGACCTGTCCATAGTGACCTGTTTATAGTGACCTGTCCATAGTGACCTGTTTATAGTGACCTGTCTATAGTGACCTGTCTATAGTGACCTGTTTATAGTGACCTGTCCATAGTGACCTCTTTATAGTGACCTGTCTATAGTGACCTGTCTATAGTGACCTGTTTATAGTGACCTGTCTATAGTGACCTGTCTATAGTGACCTGTCTATAGTGACCTGTCTATAGTGACCTGTCTATAGTGACCTGTCTATAGTGACATGTCTATAGTGACCTGTCTATAGTGACCTGTCTATAGTGACCTGTCTATAGTGACCTGTCTATAGTGACCTGTCTATAGTGACCTGTCTATAGTGACCTGTCCATAGTGACCTGTTTATAGTGACCTGTCCATAGTGACCTGTCCATAGTGACCTGTCCATAGTGACCTGTCTATAGTGACCTGTCTATAGTGACTTGTCTATAGTGACCTGTCTATAGTGACCTGTCTATAGTGACCTGTCTATAGTGACCTGTCTATAGTGACCTGTCTATAGTGACCTGTCTTTAGTGACCTGTCTTTAGTGACCTGTCTATAGTGACCTGTCTATAGTGACCTGTCTATAGTGACCTGTCTATAGTGACCTGTCTATAGTGACCTGTCTATAGTGACCTGTCTATAATGACCTGTTTATAGTGACCTGTTTACAAGACACATAGTTAATGCTATTGGCTATTTTCCTGCCAGCATGAATGTTTAGGAGGTCAGGATTTTACTGAATTTATGTTGATGTCAAATTCCTGTATGCCTCAATGATTGAGTTCATGGGGTCACGGTGTGAGTCATGATATATGTTTGTTAGGCCCCTGTTCATGTTCATTAATTACTCCCTTTATGCATCTCTGTATGCTCCCCCCCCCCCCCCCCCCCCCAAAAAAAATATGATAATAACACAGGCAGATAAACAAATCTGAAACTTTTATAGTGACCTGTGCAAAAATGATTTTTTGAGATGGGGGGGGGGGGGGGGGGAATTACAAAGAATGGAATTGAAATTGGGTCATGATACCCAATGTTTGTGCATAATGGCCGCAGTGGGAATAATACATCTTACGTTGACCACATTATTCATCATTAACTCATCACACACCCAGTAGCCATTGATCTATAAAAATAGTCTAGCACCCAATTCCTGATGTCCCATGTGGGTTCCGGGGCTCCATTTTTTAGAAAAAATAATAGAGTCACTGCCCCCCAGGAGTGCATTGATCTGAGAGGCGATAAACTAACAGTCTGCATATAAATAAGTCCAGATCTGTAAAATGGATATGCATGCAAAGCTCAAGTTCTGGAAGAAGACCAAAGTGCAGAAGTGGACAAACAACCAGAACCTTTCAATGGAGTTTACAGCCGATGAACGCCAGAAAACAAAAAAATTGTCCTGTTTGTTTCTAATTAATTACTGATGCCAGCTGTTTGTCCCAGGACAAGATTAGAAAGCTATAAGGCCAACCTTACAGTGGAGCAGTAAGAACATAGTATTCAAAGGAGATCCAACAATATATCTCTATCTTCTGCTTGTTGTATGAAAAGTGTTACAAATTATATATCATATCCCTTCACATAAGTCTCAACAGATTCATTGTCGTTAGTTCTGGCTTGTAAAATTACATTTACGGTAGGTTGTAACTTAATTTTTGATGACAACTGCTTGTCCAGTGGCAAGATCAGAAAGTTACAAGGGCGACCTTACAGCGCAGCAGACGTGAAGAGCAGCCCCATAAGTCCCAGGACAAGTCCCTTAGTTAGCCCCACAGGTGGCCTGGGGTCAGACTTCCAGCCGTTGAGAGAAGACTTTTTGCTCAAGGGTTTGAACCCACAATCCAGATACCGACCTGTTACAGCAGTGAGACGGAGATCTGGTGAGGTTTGTGTAGTTGTGAAGATATGTGGTACGTTCTTGTAGTTGTGAAGATATGTAGTGCGTTTGTGTAGTTGTGAAGATATGTGGTACATTTGTGTAGTTGTGAAGATATGTGGAAGATATAAAATAGTAGCAAAAAAGAAAACAAAGGTATTTATTGAAGTGTGTGTGTTTTGTCTCAGAAACTGAAATATTCGCAATTTCAAGCATTATAATCAACTGGAAAAATTAATAACAGAAGGCGTGTTACAAAGAAGGAGGGGCAGGGGCTGACCAGCATGAACATGAGCACAGTATCTAAGTGACACCTTCAGTAGGAAAGTACACAAGGTGGGAGAGCTTTCAGGCAGACCGTGACGAGAGAGAAGTTTGGCAAAGAACCTGCTATATGATGAAGTTGAAGTGTGTGCTCAAACAAAATCATCAAAGGTTTTTGGTAAAAGATGTGGTAAATTGTTTCACTCAGTATGATTAAGTCATCAAAGAGAAATTACAATATTATGGCAGGCATTGTTATTATCACAAGTATGTTAACATATGTGGTAATGCAATGTTTATGAATGTTTTCAGACGGCATGAACACTCAAAACTGAACATCATAATAATCACATTTTGTGTACAGTTTGTCACAATGCAGGTCATTATGTCACAAAATGTAACTCCAAAGACTACTGTGACAAGAGAGACAAAGTCTTATTGTCTCAAATAGCAACCTTTTAGAGAGACACCAGACAAACACCAGACAGACAACAGACAGACACCAGACAGACATCAGACAGACACCAGACAAACACCAGACAGACATCAGACAGACACCAGACAAACACCAGCAGACACGAAACAGACATGAGACAGACACCAGCAGACACGAAACAGACATCAGACAGACACCAGACGGACACCAGACAGACACCAGCAGACATGAAACAGACACCAGGCGGACACCAGACAAATACCAGACAGACACCAGACAGATACCAGACAGACACCAGACAAACACCAGCAGACACAAAACAGACATCAGACAGACACCAGACAAACACCAGCAGACACCAGACAAACACCAGCAGACACGAAACAGACATCAGACAGACACCAGACAGCATGAAGCTCTCAGCCAGAGTTTCTGTTGATACCTTACAGCAGTCAGCACTGGTACATTAATCAAGAACTGTCTCTGAAACATTTGACACCTCTAGAAAATACCTGGGGCAGAGAGGGTTAATTTTATTAATGAATAAGATAACGCCCCAGCACTGGCTGGAATAATAAAGAAAAACTGTGCTATCTTCATGATTTCAGAGTACATTTCACTGCTTCGACAGTTTCCAGTATATCACATTGTGTCAATTGTGTCTCGGCTCGTAGGATCTCAGACAAGTCTACGAATGTCTAAAATTGTTTGGCACATACTCACATTTACTCGTAAAATGAAAGTGCAAAAATGAAGACATGTGGCAGCCCTAAGCAAAAGACGTAACCACCTGACCATGGAAACCTCTTCAAATAGAGAAATGACAGAGAAATTATGTAGGGACAGAGGGTGTGGAAGGAGCAAAGTCGAACTTATTAAAAGCTTATAAAAACACAAACAATTCTCTTATTCTGACCATATTAAAGGCATGACAATAAAAATTAGAACTGTACTTAAAAAAAAAAAGCAGATAAGAGGCGAGCAAAAGGTAGGCAGTAATACAAGTTGTAAGATTAAATTCAAGAGATAGAGAAACAGTGCAGATCTGTCAACTTTGCAAGGAAAGAGAAGCTCAAAGCACATGGGGTTTATTGCAGGAAAACTTCTTTGATGCCTAGATATTATCCATAATTACTGAAATCATGAGTTTGGGGCATTGAGAGAGAAGGGCAGATAACAGAGACAAAAACTGCACACCCCCCCCCCCCCCCCCCCCCCTTTCCCCCAAAAACATCCTAATGGCAGAAGAGCAGGAGACATACCGAGAAGACGGTGTAGAGATATTATGGAGGCAGAATTACAAATATTTTGAGTTACTGAGATGAGAAGGCCAGTCACAGAGATCAATGAAGGCAGCTGATATGCACCTTAAGGGCTCAGAAAGCTAAAGAAGAAGAAGTAGGAGGGGAAGAAGAAGAAGAAGAACGTTCATTGCAATGACAACTCTTATTTGGTTGAAAATTTGTTTCTTGTCTTCTAACTACAGATCTGGTACACCCACCTCCACAACGACCCCCCTCCCCCGTCTCCAATAATACAGTCAAGTCATGTGGGTTAAAGGTCACTAGTACAAGGACATGGCTGGCGGCAGGTCGTGACCTCCACTTGGAGGATGTCCAGAGCAGGCCCAAGTCTGGTCACACCCCGGGTTGGAGGGAAGGCATGCCGGACAGTATGAAAAAACGCCGCTCAAAGTCTGCGCATGTGTCATCCACTAGGTAAATACAATATTTATAACTACAATGTTCTAATCTGTGTATGAGATGTTACCATTCTTCTTGTGTTCTAATCTGTGTATGAGATGTTACCATTCTTCTTGTGTTCTAATCTGTGTATGAGATGTTACCATTCTTCTTGTGTTCTAATCTGTGTATGAGATGTTACCATTCTTCTTGTGTTCTATCTCTGTGTATGAGATGTTACCATTCTTCTTGTGTTCTAATCTGTGTATGAGATGTTACCATTCTTCTTGTGTTCTAATCTGTGTATGAGATGTTACCATTCTTCTTGTGTTCTAATCTGTGTATGAGATGTTACCATTCTTCTCCTTGTTCTGCGTTCATCAAAGATGTAAATGGGTTGTGCCTGTTTACAGCATGATCGTGATTTTTGCGCCTTTTGGCTGGCACATCTGACTTATGTAAGCGTCTGCTGCAGGCCGAGAGAGGGATCATGTTTCATGGGCTACACATGGTGTCCTTATAAACAATACTAGCCAGGTTTGTGCTTCAGCCCTCACCATCATCACTATCATCATCATCATCAACAGCATCATCATCATCATCATCATCATCATCATCATCATCATCATCATCATCATCATCATCATCATCATCACCATCATCACCATCATCATCATCATCATCACCATCAATATCATCATCATCATCATCATCACCTGCCTCATTACCATCATCATCATCATCATCATCATCACCACCATCATCATCATCATCATCATCACCATCACCATCACCACCATCATCATCATCATCATAATCATCATCATCATCATCATCATCATCATCATCATCACCACCATCATCATCATCATCATCACCATCACCATCATCATCATCATCATCATCATCATCACCATCATCATCAATCATCATCATCATAGGCTGTCAGTCTTCAGCAGTGGCAGTGTTCTTTATGCTTTTGAAAGGGATGGGAAGAACATCTCATTGGTGTGACAAGCAAGACCCACCTGTATGTTACATAGCACAAAGCTTGAACAAGTTTATAGAGACCATGTGTTGTCCTTGCAACATGATCCCTCTATCAGCCGTCCTGGGAGTGGTTAAGTGGCAAACCTGCTGGAGAGGATAAGTGGCATGCATGCTGCCTTCCTTGCCGGGAGTGGTTGAGTGGCATACCTGCTGCCTTCCTTGCCGGGAGTGGTTGAGTGGCATGCCTGCTGCCTTCCTTGGATGTGGTAGCCGTTTCTCATTGCTTCCTTTCCAGAATCAAACCCTAATTCCCTCTTACCCGTTCTAGATGATAGATTAAACTGTGCTTAGACTCTAACTACTGAAGACACCAACATTCTGGTGCATGATTTCTTACCCGGCCTACGTCACTGCATGTCATAGCTCAACTACATAACTGTAACAAACATAATCATCCTCAAAAGGTGAATCCTTTCAATTCAAAATCATACATTCATCATTCATTGGCACCTTTTCGTCTTTCCAGATGATAGTGTTATATTGCGCTATGAGGAGGAATGAGACTGTATAGTTTATTGTTATACCTGAGGAAGTTTAAGACTAACTATGTGGTTCTATGGTTTACACAACACGGGACTGACTGTCCTAACTCCAACTGCTTCTGCAAATATCAGTAGATGTTAGTTTAGTGTGTTACAAGTAAAGTAAGTAAAGGACCCTTTTCCATGCCATCAGGTGTATTGGGCATATAGGGTTGGACCAATATTTTTTTATAGGCCAATCGGCAGTTGGTGGGTGATGTGGTCAACATCACACCTGCCGCCTTTACTTCCCAGTACTGCACCTGGTACCTACCCAAAGCTGGGTCGACCTGAGAGCCATAGTCATTTTTGAAGAAAGCTCGGTCCCATCAGGATCCGAACCCATGGTCTTCTGATTCACAGGCAAGCATCTAGTCCTTACACCACTTAGTCCCTACATCACCTAGTCCCTACACCACCTAGTCCCTACACCACCTAGTCCCTACACCATCTAGTCCCTACACCATCTAGTCCCTACACCACCTAGCCCCTACACCATCTAGTCCCTACACCACCTAGTCCCTACACCATCTAGTCCCTACACCACCTAGTCCCTACACCACCTAGCCCCTACACCACCTAGTCCCTACACCACCTAGTCCCTACACCATCTAGTCCCTACACCACCTAGTCCCTACACCACCTAGTCCCTACACCATCTAGTCCCTACACCACCTAGTCCCTACACCACCTAGTCCCTACACCACCTAGTCCCTACACCACCTAGTCCCTACACCACCTAGTCCTTACACCACCTAGTCCCTACACCACCTAGTCCCTACACCACCTAGTCCCTACACCACCTAGTCCCTACACCACCTAGTCCCTACACCACCTAGTCCCTACATCACCTAGTCCTTACACCACCTAGTCCTTACACCACCTAGTCCTTACACCTCCTAGTCCTTACACCACCTAGTCCCTACACCACCTAGTCCCTACACCACCTAGTTCTTACACCACCTAGTCCCTTCACCACCTAGTCCCTACACCACCTAGTCCTTACACCACCTAGTCCCTACACCACCTAGTCCTTACACCACCTAATCCCTACACCACCTAGTCCCTACACCACTTAGTCCTTACACCACCTAGTCCCTACACCACCTAGTCCCTACATCACCTAGTCCCTACACCACCTAGTCCCTACACCACTTAGTCCTAGTCCCTACACCATCTAGTCCCTACACCATCTAGTCCCTACACCACCGAGTCCCTACACCACCGAGTCCCTACACCACCGAGCCCCTACACCACCGAGTCCCTACACCACCTAGTCCCTACACCACCTAGTCCCTACACCACCTAGTCCCTACACCACCTAGTCCCTACACCACCTAGTCCCTACACCACCTAGTCCCTACACCACCTAGTCCCTACACCACCTAGTCCCTACACCACCTAGTCCCTACACACCTACCTAGTCCCTACACTCACACCACCTAGTCCCTACACCACCTAGTCCCTACACCATCTAGTCCCTACACCACCTAGTCCCTACACCACTGAGTCCCTACACCACCGAGTCCCTACACCACCGAGTCCCTACACCACCGAGTCCCTACACCACCTAGTCCTTACACCACCGAGTCCCTACACCATCTAGTCCCTACACCATCTAGTCCCTACACCATTTAGTCCCTACATCACCTAATCCCTACACCACCTAGTCCCTACACCACCTAGTCCCTACACCATCTAGTCCCTACACCATCTAGTCCCTACACCACCTAGTCCCTACACCACCTAGTCCCTACACCACCTAGTCCCTACACCACCTAGTCCCTACACCACCTAGTCCCTACACCACCTAGTCCCTACACCACCTAGTCCCTACACCACCTAGTCCCTACACCACCAAGTCCCTACCCAACCAGTCCCCTACACCACCGAGTCCCTACACCACCTAGTCCCTACACCACCGAGTCCCTACACCACCTAGTCCCTACACCATCTAGTCCCTACATCACCTAGTCCCTACATCACCTAGTCCCTACACCACCTAGTCCCTACACCACCTAGTCCCTACACCACCTAGTCCCTACACCACCTAGTCCCTATACCACCTAGTCCCTACACCACCTAGTCCCTATACCACCTAGTCCCTACACCACCTAGTCCCTACACCACCTAGTCCCTACACCACAGTGTGTGATACTGTGAATATAACGGATATATCTGCTGTCAGTAGTCCTGGTCAAGAACAAATATATGGCTTCTGTAATATTTCAGTGTGTCTAACAGTTGACTTTAGATATGTAGTGGCAGCTATAGAAAGATTCTGAGTATATCTTGGACAAGGAAGATGAGAAATATTGACATCTTAAAAGATCTGAACATCAAGGAAGATTGGCTAATAAACAGCATCCTTTCTCGAAAGCTGAAATATTTTGGTCATATCATGCGCTACGACAGATTGGAAAAAAGTATAGCAGAAGGCATGGTACCAGGAAGGAGGGGCAGGGGCCGACCGACACGAAGATGGGCACAGGATATAAGTGACCCCTTGAGTGTGAAAGTTCATGAGGCGGAGACCGAGTTTCTTTCAGACAGACTGTGATGAGAGCGACGTTCTGCAAAGGACCTGCTACATGATGATGAGTGGGAGCTTTTGTTATCAGCCAACCCAAAACAATAAGTTAACCAATTACTGTAACCAGGCGATTTACGTTGCAGAACCTTCCGCAGCATTTTTAGACTGCTTGTGATTTCACCAGACAATTTTACATTCCGTAGTTTGTCAGTGTCCCTGAATGTTCGGTTCTTATTACCACTGGCGAAACCAGCACAAAGTGGTCTGCTACTAAATCACAGGCAGCAGGGATCGAACCTGCAACTCCATAAATTACACAGTGTGTTTGTGACACCTAAGCTCCAGATGCTGATGAATGCTAATAGGCTAATAGAAATATGGTATAATCCCTGTCTACACAACGCAGCATTAAGGTGTGCGGATAGAAATATGGTATAATCCCTGTCTACACAACGCAGCATTAAGGTGTGCGGATAGAAATATGGTATAATCTCTGTCTACACAAGGCAGCATCAAGGTGTGCGGATAGAAATATGGTATAATCCCTGTCTACACAACACAGCATCAAGGTGTGCGGAAAGCCTTCACTTGATTGTTACCTTTTGTTTTAATACACAGACATCCCAATTGTGGATACCTGAATCTGGATGTAAAACATAAGATAACAGGTATGTATCTACTTGGCTGGCTCTCAATAGATGTCCCACGCACATCTGTGTGTGTGTGTGTGTGTGTGTGTGTGTGTGTGGGGAATTGTGTTTGTGTGTGGGTGGGAGACAGGGGGGGGGGGGGGGGGGGGGGGGGGGGGGGGGCGAGTGTGTAGTGGTTAAACAAAGTCAGATGGTGCCTGGTGCTGAAAATGTCCTATTCTCTTCACCTCTACATTTTTTTTTATTAATCTATTTACCATTTTGTCACATCCCCCCCCCCCC